TACACATACCAAGTTCAGTTTTCATGTACAATCGAACAAATCAAACAACAGGTAGGTGAGTGTCTTTGGCAGCAACATCTTGCGGATCGTCACGGCCTCCGAGTCCTTGACCGTTCTAGGCATACAAGTCAGTGCGCCATTGGAGCTAGTACTTCAGAACGCACAGCTCGTCCAGCGGGTACGACTCCATGTTGCCGATCGCCGACCACCCCGTGTACGTCGGGAGCGTGAAGTTGACCGAGTGCGTGATGATATCGCAGCTCGCGTTGACGCCGCAGACTTTATACGTCTTGCCGCAGGTCGCATCGGTCGCAAGGATCGTGCCAGACATGCCTTCGTACGGGCAGGCTGCGCGGACGACACCGAGGCATAGGCCGAGCCACAACCACGCACGCTCTTGCATGGTTTTTGAGTTATGGCAACGTCTGGTACCCAACATGCTAGCCAGCAACACAGCCGTTGAATCCAGAGTCTGCATCGAAACCGGCTGCCCACGGCAAAGACAGTGTGACCTTGTGTCCGTGCACCAACAGACAGCGACCTCTGCTTCGTGCGCGGTCGTTGGTGGTCCACAAGTGCCTAGGGCTACAGTACAAGTCGATGGCACGTACATCGTACCGGTAGGAAGCGCGCTCGGCTGTCGAATGCGTCTACCTTGCAGCACATCCTAACGGCAAGGTGCAGCAAACGCGCGCCATAATCGTTGTTCGATGCGCGCTGTCGATGACACCAGCCAATCAAACGTGGTAGGCAACACATATGGTGTCCATAAACAGCCAATCAAATGATGCGTACATGGCCTGGCTGGCGGTAAGGCCGTCGACGCGTCCATGATAGGTACATCGTGCTTGGTGTCGTTGTAAACACGACTGCACGCCCTTGTGCGTAGAGCACTCGCCCCCACACGGCCATAGCATCTATGCATGTACCTCTCAAGAACCGTTGGCGATGAAGAACCCATCAACCCATCGGGCCTCTCGCTGTGGTAATACATGTACCTGTGCAGATGGTGCATCGTTGATCAAGGACGTCAACCAAGCGGAGGCATTGGCTCGCGCTTTCTTGCCCATGCCCCTCCCTGGAGACAATCGCTGCATTGTCGAGGCGAATAGGCTCGATGTGGTGTATGATTACCCCCGAGCTTTCAATGCCATTGTTCCAAGCCTGGGTACTACTGCTCAGCGTGATCTGCTTCGCACAATTCCATGAGGCTTGGAGCGCTCTGTCCGTTGTCGCACCTACGTTCTCACAAGCTGAGATGCATTTTGGGCGAAATCGGATGTAATCCACGCGCGTCGCCAAGGTGACTAGACACGCAGTGCTGTTGGTTGTTGCTCTCTGATTCGACGACTCACCTACATACTGTTTAGCACAGCTAGAAATGGCTGGGCGTCAGTGTCTACGCGGACGCGGATCCTGGCAACTCCTTTCGTACGTTGAAGCAATCACTTGCCAGCGCTAGATACCCGTCATGGCGCGTGCAGGCTCCCTAGAAACGCGACAGGCGCTGCTGTCGTCACGGAGTCGCCTGCAGCAGCACGTATGCAGCAGCACGTTGTGCGACACGCTAGGACGCGTTGCAGCCTCGTACTCAATTCCTTTTCAAAGGACCAAATGGCAAGAGCAATCCTGCGACTGCTCTTTCTCGCCTCGCTGTGCGCGACGGTCGCCGCCGCCGACGACGCTGCGTGCAAGTATGGGTACTACGGCCCCAACCTCTCGGTCTACACGGCGGACGAGTGCTGCGGGCCGATTTTGCCCGGCGGTAACGCGTCGTACTGCGTCATCAACTCGACCAACTGCGAGATCCTCGTCAATATTACCATGGAAGGCCGCACCAAGCTGCCGCGCTTCAACGCGATCGGCGATCTCTCCCGGTCCCTTGTCGCCTACATGTACATACATCGGCTCTTTGTCGTACTTGAGCTGGAGAGCTAAGCGCGCTGGGTGTAGGAAGTACGGCAACAAGTCGCTTCTTGTCATGAAGGGCATGGCCTTCCCCAAGACCCTCACTACTTTGTACGCAACGACATGTTGACCCGGTTGAGAGAATTTTGTGGCTGGGTAGGACCATCGAGAACATCACCACAATCGACTTTAACCAGATCAAGACCCCATTTCCAGACTCGATGCGCCGCATGTAATCGTTCATTTGCTTGGCTAGAAGGCGACCATGACGCTGACTAGTGACGTTCTGGACTCGTTCTTGGATGTGTTTCCCGCCACCTTTCGCTGGCCCGTGGCCCTCAAGAACCTGTACGGTTGTGCCTGCGACGATAGCATGCAACGTCGCATCTTTCTGGTCTAGGACACTGCGTGGCAACCGACTCCAGACGATCCCAAAGGGCCTTCCGGACGGTCTCGTGTCCTTGTACAAAGTACCGATCGATGCTGTTGAGATCTGAAGCCACCGCATAGAGCGATTCAAAACAACACGCTCAACGACTTCAACTACCTCCCGCCCAATCTCACATTTCTGTGTGCTAAGTTGTCATATTTGACGTGGACTCATACTAAATTGTGTAGGAACATTCGTCACAACCAGTACGAAAAGGTCGTCGACATGGACTGGACCAACTTGAACTACCTGTACGACCTTCTTGACTGTTTCTGTAGCACTTGAGAGCTAAAAGCGTTGCGTAGCCAACTGAGCTACAACCCGATCAAGACGATTGCCAACATTCGACTCTCTGACAAGATTCGTTTTTTGTACAATATTGTATTTGCCTCCGTCGACTCTTATACAAGGTGGCTAGCGGCTGCATGGACTGCAACGTGACCAACTTTACCATCAACCAAGCCACGTTTGATGCACTCAACGTCCTTCCTGCCTGCGACGACGACGAAAGCACGCTCAAGGCGACTTGCTACCGCTTCAACAAAAACACGGCTGTCGACATGGCAGCGTGCACTGCGAGTAGCGGCAAGCCGTTGCAACTCTGGCCCAGCGACACCACTGTCAAGGTCAATGTCTGCGTCACGCCCAGTACGTCGACATCTCCAGATTTCCAGCTCTGAACTCGCTGTCACTAGACACCCTCGCGCCGGCGCCCGTACCCGAAGCTACCAACCGTACGCTACCTCGCATGCTCTTTCAAACGCTCACGCCATTTCGTAGACATGGGGTTGATTGTGGGCCTCGCGGTCGGCGGTGTCGTGCTCGTTGCACTCATCGCATTCTTCATCGTGCGAAAAAACAAAAAGGCAGTGTACGATGGGACCGGCTACTACCAAAACGAGTTTACGAACGGCACGCTCAATGGCACGCAAGGGTCAGCCGGCGACTACAGCGATATGGGCCTCAACGTCGAAGATCTGCGTATCCACAAGCTCGACATTGCCGACTTGAAGGTCACGGCCAAGAAGCCATTGGCCTCCGGCGCGTTTGGCGAAGTGTGGCTCGCAACCTACTGCGACGAGAAGGTCGCCGTCAAGCGCATCAAGGACCGCCGCATCGAGAGCGTCAAGAAGTTTATCGACGAAATCAAGCTCATGGCCATGTAGGACATCGCAAAACCTGCGGGATGATGACAATATGTGTCCACATATTCTAGGATGGAAAGCGAGTTTGTCGTCAAGTTTGTCGGTGTGAGCTGGCGCCGCCCGATCGAAATGGAGGTCGTCGTCGAGTACATGGACCTCGGCGATCTGCGCAACTACCTTATGAGCCGGCCGCCCACGACGTACAGCTGGCAGGAAAAGTTCACTTCCATCATGAGCATCGTCCGGGGTCTTGTGTATCTGCACACGTTTGAGCCGCCGATCATCCACCGCGACCTCAAGTCCCGCAACGTCCTCCTCGACTCGGCAAAGGTTTTCTCTTCTTTTTAGATTGAAACACCTTAATATTTTCGAAACTAGGGCACCAAGTTGACCGACTTTGGCGCGTCCCGCCAAGAAGCGGACGCGGGCATGACCAACGGCATTGGCACGTACCAGTGGATGGCGCCCGAGATCATCATGGGCACCGAGTACACGATCGCCGCCGATGTTTACTCGTTTGGTACGTATTTTTCGATTTAGGGATAGGGTTATGAGACATTTTCCTAGGTGTCATTTTGTCGGAATTCTCGACCCACGCTGTGCCGTACGGCGACGTCAAGAACGCCATAACAGGCCGTGCGTACACGCAGCAAGCCATCATGTCCAAGGTCACGGCCGGCGAATTGCGCCCGACCTTTGAGCAGTACGAGACGCCGGTGTGGGTCCGGGACCTCGGCATGCAGTGCATGGCGCTCGACCCGGACGACCGCCCGACGTCTTTGGCGCTCACTGCAATTCTTCAACGCGTCAAGATGCAGTTTTATGCGTGAGCCAGCATCTGTAAAGTGTTGTGCAATGTTGAAAATCGTTTTCCTCAATTCCACTGAATGTTGCTTCTTCCTTTCCTCTCGATCTTTTGAGGTACATTTATGGACAATACCTACTCATGATGCAATACTCCACTATTTTCAAGCGGATTAGTCGTCCACAAGACTATCGACAAACTGCCGCACCAACACCGTGAGCTCCAAAGTGGTCGGTCGCAGACATGGGTCCCACGCCAAGCAGCGCGCACCGACCTCGTGGACCCAAGGCGGCGACATCGCGTCAAAGTCGGGTCGCAGATCGCCGCTCGCGACCTTGGTCAAAAGACTCTGCGCACTCTGCGACGAGAAACAGCGCTGGGTGTACGGCACCTCGTGCGTACTCATCTCCGATACAAGCACCCCTACGCCCATGCCTCTCTGATGAGCCACCGCGTCTAACACACGAATCGTAGAAGCGCACCAAACGAGTAAATGTCGGCCGCCTCACTGTACGACGAGCCGTTGATAACCTCGGGGGCCATCCATTGGAACGTGCCAATGCCGTTGGTCAGCGCGCGCGAGTCGCAGAGCTCGCGCGAGACGCCAAAGTCGGTGAGCTTGGCGCCGCCAGACGCGTCCAGCAAAACGTTGCGGGACTTGAGGTCGCGGTGGATGACGACGGGGGTGAACGTGTGTAGAAACACGAGGTCGTACACAATGCTCTGCAAGAGCAGCGCCTTCTCGGCCCACGGGATCGCGTGCCGACCGGAATTCGCGAGGTAGCTCCGGAGGTCGCCCGCTTGCATGTGCTCGAGCACCGCTTCAATGTCGAGGAGCCGACGCCACGTCACGCCGAGAAGCGTCACAATGTACGGGCTCTGGAGTCTATCGTAATGGCATGTCGATGGTTTCGAGAGGATGGAAATGTACTTGGCGAGCAGGAGGATTTCTTGGATGAAGGCGTGGATGGCTTCGGGTCGGCGGTCTTTGTTGCGCTTGATGACCACGGTGGCGTTGGTGGCGAGGTGCGTGGCGCGCCAGACGTCGCCAAACGCGCCGGACGCGATCGGCTTGGCATCGGACACGACGAGGCTGGACGCGTCCAGCTGCAGCATCTGGAGCGTCTCGAGCTCGTGGGACGTCAGCGACGAGATGAGGTAGTCGGCGGCGGCGGCGCGGTCCGTCTTGGCGACGCGCTGGCCTCGGCGATAGAGACAACCAAACAAGATGCCAGCGACGAGAATGCCAAGCGCAATGAGCAGAAAATGGTAGAGCTCTAGAGATCTCTTGTCCGTGGAGGAAGGAGAGGGCGTCACGAACCTGTATAGTCGACCCATTTGTAGTTGGAGTTGCGGCTCACACACACGACGTAGTCGGGTGAATTGTCCCAGAGCCGAGCTTGCGTGCTGCCGTCTTTTGTGCAGTCGGATGCAAACGGTGGCACTAGAAACGTAGCATTCGAGGACGAGCTGCTGGTCGGAGAGAGGTTGCGCAGCGCTCGCAGCGAGTCGTCGCCGTCCAGAGAAAAGAAGTCGAGGGAGCAGTTGTAGCATGCGCTACGTGGCTCATATGAGCTTGCCTTGAAGATGCAAGTGTAGGTGTCGCACAAGTGCCGGAGTCGGGACGAGACGCGGAAACTACGGAGTGTGCGAACGTTGTCGAGTTCTCTACAAGGCCAATTATTGACAGCACCAGAGACGGTATCGTACAGCCTCTCGATCTGCGCCAATCGCAAGTAATTGAAATCGTTGAATCCGGGGCCGTGGTCCAAGATGGTGCTATGAGTAAACGTATAGTTGACCTCTCACCGTCATCGCTAGTACAGGTTGACAAGCGTCGACGGGAAATCTTGCAGGTCGTAGTACGGAAAGCCAGGACTTCGTAGCTCCCTAAATGCATCCACAATATGAGTATGCATTCCAAGCTCGCGTGGCCGACAGGTGCTGAAGGCGCCGGGCACGTTTGAAAAGCGGGTAGCTGGGGCTGAAGCGACAAGAGGTGACCATTCTAGGTGTCGTTGTCAGCAGATATTGCAATCATTGCGCCGTAGGACAAACAAGTGTGTAAGCTCCCGCGGGATGTCGAAATCTCTCCAGTGACCATAGTTGGCGCCGACAAGCGACCTAGCCACAAGACATGTAGAGCATGAGCGATCGCGGAATGCAATTGCTGCAGGTACAGGGCCGCGAGCTGCACGGGAAACTGGTGGTAAATGTGGCTCTTCGTCAGGTTGACGAGCTCTCTATCACAAACGCTACGCATGAACTTCCATTCTCAACCTCCAAGAATACTATCCGACAGGGTAGCATGCGGGTACAGGAAGACGTCGCCAAGGACATCGTTCGCATCGAGCTGGACGCGCGTCGACGCACTTGGCACGCGGCGAACGACCGAGCAGTTGCTGTTGACAAAGCACATGGCGCTGCCTCCGCACGAGCCGTCAGCTACGAGCGCAGTCTCGTGCAGCGCCAGGTCGCTGTACTTGCAGCTTGCCATTGGTGTGTTGGACAGTCCTGTAAATAGCTCCTGTCTAACTGGGGTAATTTCCATACTATCGAATGCGTCTCAATATGGCATATATTATTTTATACGTCTCAAAGTCGGCAAGGTATACCATAGTACGGCTAGAACTGTGTGACTTGAATATCTAAAACATATTCTGTTAAAAGCCACAGAGGTCGGAAGAGATGGTCATGAGAACACATTGGAGCGATGGACCAATCAACAGCGGTGCCGTTTCTGATTGGCGCGCGCCATGGGACACGCCAAATTGCCATGGCCTTGTGCAAGTACGCCGACCTTGGTGCCGACGCCGTCGTCCTCACGGCTGACGGCTCATGCGTCGATGGCGCCGTCATGTGCCTCGTCGACAGCAGCTGCGCGGTGCGTCAGCACGTGGCAGCCAACACGACACGCTTTGATCTACGGTCGGGCTGGCGCCTCGGAGACCTCTCACGCTACCCCCACCCGCACCTGTGCGCCATTTCTCGGTACTCGCTGGACGCTCATGGCTACGTAGGGAGCTCGTGGACTTGGATATTGATGTGTCGCTTCACCGGTACCAGCAGCTGCCATCGGGGCTTGACGAATTGTACGCAACGATTTGCCTCGTGCCCCGTGTATTGGCTACTTTCGCGATAGGTCGTTTACGAGCAGCATCCTGGCGTCCGAGACAACGACGACTGCAATGGATGGCCTCGAGCTGCCCCGAGGACTCCGGCGCTTGTGGGTTTGGCCTCGGTGGGCCTCGGTGGTCTTGCTTGACGTCGCCCTAGGTCCTTTGAGGGCTGTTATCTGGGCGACAGCGTGAGCTTGTATCGCTTCAGTCGCCTCGAAGAATTGTACGCTTGACGTTCATCCTTCACGGGGTGATTGAGCGAGTAGATCCTTTCGCAACTCGACGCTGACCCAGTGGTCTCAGGATGTATCCTCCACGCTACGCCGCTTGTGGGGTTGACCGTCTCGTCGTCCGACTCATGTCCCCATCATCTAGGACGTTCTTGGACAACACTTATCACAGGATCGATAATTCTCACATCGATGATCTTGGCAAACTGTCGGCGCTTGAGACGGTGTACGTGCATCGATGCTCAACTTTCTCTGTGACTTTGGGCTCACGCAATCTGCTACTAGCGATCTCAGCGGGGTCTCTGAGCTCTTCAATTTCAACGCGACGCCTCACACCCTGCGCTACTTGTACAACCAGCGTTTGCCTTTAAAACGAATTGCTTATCTCATGGTGCTGTAGCTCGTGCAAGGACTGCGATCTCACAGTCTTTTCAATGCAACCATCGGCTCTGACCGCCTTGAGCTTGTTGGCACCAGCATCCAATGACAGCGCTGGGTACCGCGTCCGTCGTCTGCACCAAGATGCCGACTACTGCCGCGTCTATCACGGTACCATTCGCTCGCTCTGGCCGCCCTCCAACTACACCATTTGCGTTCTATCCCTCAACAAGGACCACCTGTGTGCGTCCTCTCGATTCTATCAAAGTTTCAACTCGATTCTTTATAGACATGCCATACATCGCGGACAACAACAACCGAGTCTACACGTACCTTGCGATCGGCGCCGTAGCCCTCTTAATCATTGCCGTTGGGATATACTACCACGGGAAGCGCGTTGCCAAGACGGACCGCGCCGCCGCCGACGACTACCTCATCTCGTCGCTGACGTCCCACGAGCTCGAGACGCTCCAGATGCTGCAGCTGGACGCGTCCAGCCTCGTCGTGTCCGATGCCAAGCCGATCGCGTCCGGCGCGTTTGGCGACGTCTGGCGCGCCACGCACCTCGCCACCAACGCCACCGTGGTCATCAAGCGCAACAAAGACCGCCGACCCGAAGCCATCCACGCCTTCATCCAAGAAATCCTCCTGCTCGCCAAGTACATTTCCATCCTCTCGAAACCATCGACATGCCATTACGATAGACTCCAGAGCCCGTACATTGTGACGCTTCTCGGCGTGACGTGGCGTCGGCTCCTCGACATTGAAGCGGTGCTCGAGCACATGCAAGCGGGCGACCTCCGGAGCTACCTCGCGAATTCCGGT